TATATATATATATATATATATATATATATATATATATATATATATATATATATATATATATATATATATATATATATATATATATATAAGCGCCCTGCACGAAACGATATGTTGCGGCGACGAGTTGCAGCGATTTGTCGCCTGATGTGTACCGACCTCTACTGGTGAAATGTTCTTACAGGACGAAACGCGAGTACCCATTTATATCTCGTGCGAGAACTCGAGTCGAAAAAATAGAGCCAAGATGGCGGAAATTGAAGAGCTATTCAGCTATTGGACGCATTGAAACTGGAAGGCTAACTCAGGGGGAGGGGGTTGAAGCCAGTGTATTTTAGTTTTTCTGAGTTATGAGCAGAAATACTCAACACTGAACGTTGTTGAAAAACCCTATTTGGTGTGGAAATTTCAAGACTTTAGCTAAAAGGGAAATATTTAAAAACTACACAAATAATTGCCGATAATTTGCCATTTTTTGGGCCGAATGGCAGTTGTTTTTGTATTTTTAAAATATTTTTCTTTTCGCTACAGTCTTGGAATTTTCTCACCGAATAGAAAGTTTCAATAGCTTCAGTTTGATATATAGCCCAACGTTTGGGATCAAGTATTTCTGCTCATAACTCAGAAAAACTATTTTGGCTTCAGCAAATCGTAGGCCTTCATAATAGCAGTTAGCGTTCCAGTTTACTTATAGTTCAATGATTGGACATCAGTTCCAGTCCCCTTCTATGGGCAATTCCAGCTTTTAAATTATGCGCGCGGAAGATGACGGGAAGTAAGGTATTATATTGCTGATTATGGTGAAAAAATGTCAATAAAAACTGCCGAAACAACCGAAATATTTCAATATTTACAAGTATATAAGCTGTCACACGGCCGCCATTTTTATTTTTCAGCATAATCAGCAATATGATACCTTATTTCCCATCGCCCCTTGCACGCATAAACTAAAAGCTGGAATTGCCTATTGTTTTGAAGCTGGCAAGGAATGTGTCGAAGTTTCGTATTTTGACTTCGATTCAAAGAATCATAGTATGGTTTTATGGACTGATAAGCAGCTTTTAATTAAGCTCTAAGGTCTAAAGCTGGAGTTATACGAGCAACATAATGGCTGCAACTTGCAACAAAATCTGATTTCAACGCATGTTACACAGATATGTCGACACATGTTGCTTTGTGATTTGTAATTCATGTGTAAACATTTTCAATTAACATGCGTTGAAATCAGATTTTGTTGCAAGTTGCAGCAATTTTGATGCCCGTGTAACGCCACCTTTAGTGTCTAAACTATTTTCCAATCTAAAAGCAGGCAATGTGCATTCCTATACTATAAGCTTCTACCGAACTCTATCAAACTCGAAATCCTAAGCCAAATTTCTCTATCTGGGGCCAGTTGTATAAAACTCTTACTCTCCATTTCAATTTACTTTTCAACTTCCAATGTTTACTTGTAAATTCGAAATGTTCGTTGTAAATTCGAAATGTTCGTTGTCCGAAGTTTGTTTCGAAGTTCGTTCCGATGATTTACGATAATCAAGTTTAGTAAGTTGTAATTGGCTAGTTAAGTGAACCAGCCAATCACATCGCTTGCTATTGAATCATCGTAAATCATCGTAACGAACTTCGAAACAAACTTCGAAACTTTACAACAAACATTCCGAATTTACAAGTAAACATTGGAAGTCAGTTTTGAAAAGCAAATTGAAATCGAGAGTAATCACTTTTTTAATCACTATTTTGTAGTTAAATAGTGATTAACTCTCAAATACGCGCTTCTTATTGGATGACGTTTCCACTAACTATAGTTAACTTTAATCACTTTTTTATACAATCGGCCCCTGGGCACTGAAGTGCTGAGAGTTGAGAAGCGAGAGTTTGCATGAGAGTTTTCTCAACTTTCGCGCAAACGATCGTAAAGGCCTGATTCCACGGGCGCTTTTTCTCGGCGAAATGCGAATTATTTCGCCTGTGTCTTTTGAATTGCGACCACTCGAATAAATTATTTCTACTTGATTGCTCACAATTCAAAAGAAACATGCGAAATCTTTCGCATTTCGCCGAGAAAAAGCGCCCGTGGAACCAGGCCTTAAAGATGTGATTACAAGCGAGAGTTGCACGAGAGTTGACGCCATATTACCGCGCGCGCAGCGAACTCTCTCATCAACTCCCACCAAAACCTTCAACTCTCATGCCCATTTAACCAAAGCTAAAAGGCACCCAGCCTTATTTTAAATTCGAGCGAGACTACCAGAAATTAGAGATGTGCGTGCATGCCCCCCTCCTACTAAATACATTAAGGCCCCCCCCACCCTGATTAAAAATTCTAATTATTGTCACTACATGACATGCGTACCGGAGATATTTAAAAATCGGCCTCTACTGCTCTCAGCATATGGGATACAGGCTGAGAAGGACTACGATATAACCGACCTTTTGTCATTGGGATTTTCTCCAAGATTTTCGAGATAAGTTTAAAGTCGGATCTCTTGCCAGGATGGTATGACCAAAAATGGTTTATCAAGTCCTAAATAAAATTATAATAGAATATTTATAGCTCGTGAGCGTCGATTGGTATAGAGAAGTGTGTTTCTAGAGCTAAAAAAACACGGACATAATTTCATCCAACATACACGCGTAAAAATCTAACAGCTTGTCAACAAGTTGTGTTCGCACTGCTTGTCCCAAGTTGTCAACAAGTTTGGAACAAGCTGTTAACAACATGTAACAACCTTGATGGCATTATCAGACTTGTTGCAAGGTTGTTCTAACATGTCTGCTACAGTCTTGATATAACAATATTGTTACAACCTTGTGTCGTCAACTTTGTAACATTTTTTATATCATGACTGTACCGGACTTGTCAGAACAACCTCGTAACAAGTCTGATAATGCCATCAAACTTGCTACAAGTTGTTAACAGCTTGTTCCAAAATTGTTACAACAACTGGGAACAAGTAGTGCGAACACAACTTGTCGACAGCTTGTGAACAGATTTGTAACAACTTGTTTGCAGACCTATAACAACTTGTGCGTTTTTCGTGTGTAGTTCCCAGTTGTAGACAAGTCTGGAACAAGTTTTTATCGTCTTGTAACAAGGTTGATGAGGCCAACAGATTCCCAACAAGTAGTTCCAATAAGTCTGATGATATCTTCTGCACGTAACAAGTTGTTAACAAGTTGATGACAACAAGCTTGTCACAGCTTGTTACGAACAGCCTGTATTAGCCTTGTTGGAACAATTTGTAGCAAGCCTGTTACCGTCATGAACCTTGTTACCGACAAGGTGAACAACTTGTTCCAGACTTGTCAGAACAACTGGGAACAAGCAGTGCGAACACATCCTGATATCGGCTTGACAACAACCTTGTTACAATTTGTTTACGCACAAGTAGACAAGTAGCAAACTTGTAGCAATGCTGTTTCAACAACTTATCAACAGGATGTGTTCGCAATGCTTGTTCCCAGCTTGTTGACAACTTGCTACAAGGTTAATAAGTTCTTTGTATGTTTGCATGGCGATAAAACATATAATAGTTTTGTTTGTGGAAACATCACGTACTGTACATTTATTACTGCAAAGCTTTCGATCCGTAAGCCCGGATCTTAATCAGTGCTAATAATATGATCTTCATCAGTGCTAATAATAAATTTACGTGGTGTTTCCACAAACAAAACTATTGCTACAAGGTTGTTGAGCTCAACACACTTGTTACAAGTTGCTTCAACAAGGTGTTATCGTCCTGCAATTCATCCATTTGTCAACAAGTTATGAGTGACAACCTTGTAGCAACTTGATGAAACAAAATCATTGTTACAAGTTGTTGACAAGCTTACTACAGGCAGACATGTTGCGAACACATCTCGTTGACAAGTTGTGAGGTTTTTTACGTGTCTAGGTAAGTTGCCTGGCAAATGGGGCCCATACGGCCAGGCCCTAAGAACTCACCTTCATTTCCCTGGCAACGTCCAGCTTACTGAGCGATTGTTTGGCTCCCTTGCCCACTTGATAAATGATGCTTTCGAGAGAGCATTCGTGGAATGGCCACACGGTTGCAAATAACTCGTAGGATACGGTGCTGAAAAATTCAACATTTATTCGTATATTACCAGATGAGTACGGGGCTGACGAGGGGAGGATAATTTTAATGAAATAGGTTATGGGAGGGGAGGATAATTTTAATGAAATAACCAGAATTTTAATTAGCACTTTTTCTGATACATTTGCCCCAATTTTCTTGATTTCCCCCAAAAGAATTTGCAGTGGCAGGCTTTTTGAAAGAAGTAAGCTGCTATATGATGCCGAAGGTACCTCACCAAGGCGGGTTTGAGGGCGTCTCCCCGTCAAGACTTTGTTTTTTAAGTCTCTGTACATTAACAATTACGTGACCTTCGTTGAACATTGATCCAGTGTTACTACAGAAGGAAACCTAAGCTCAGCTAACTTTATTTATTCTATCTACTGGTTAGCATCTAAACTGTTCTTCCTAGAGGTCCAGTAAGGATGACTCTTGACATTATAGTTCAAGGGAGTCTTACCCAAAAGCATATACATCAGATTCCTTCGTGAAAAGTTTTCGATGTAATTTTTGATTCGGCGACAACGATCTGATGATTTCAGGCGCGAGATAGTAGACCCAGCCGTAGGGGAACTTGACTACGCCTGACCTGAAAGGAAAATATGTTTTTGTATGCTACTTAACACGCGCTCAAACTAATAAGTATAATGTACTACAAGAGGGCTCATCCAAAATTTCTATTTTTCGGTGGCAAAATTTTCAAGCGGTGGTCAAATTGGATAGTTATGTAC